AAGTCCTCCCTGCCACCTGGCACACCCTCCTTCCTGGCATCACTAGCTGGACTCTTTAATCAGCTTCCTCCTGAGTCACTCATTCATGAGGCTACCAAGAGGACAGGCATGTGGACTCAGGCTGACAGAGTACCTCCCTCCCTTCATCCCATTTAACCCCCAAAGCACTTATTATCAGCCCCATTATACAAGTACAAAGATTGAGTGACTTGCCCAAGGGGCGGATCACGTTGCCTCTCCTGTGGGGGTTGCCACTTTGTGCCAGGCGTGCTGCCAGGCACTTTGGTGGTATAGAATCTAGTTCTGTCTGGCAAGGAAAGCTGACCTACACAGCCCCAGTTCACACACCATAGTCAGTGAGCGAAGGGTATGGATCTGCAGAGGAGGGTTGGATTCCTCCTGCTTGGGAAGAGTCCTGGAAGCTTCTAGGAAGAGGCATCTTCAAGCCTGGCTAGATTCCTCACTGCTCCACGCCCATGACCACCACAACAGGAGGACAGGTCACGCCTTGGCCTACAAAGCTCTGGTGCCCAGTGGGAACTTGCCACCGCCCTGGAGGCTGCAAAGGAAGGAGCAGCAGCTGCCCTGCCAGCTGCCCTGCCAATGACCCTGCTGTGTCCAGGCCAGCCTGCCTCCAACACTGCCAACCTGGCCTGGCCCAGCCGGCTCCCAATCACAGGGTCTCCTCTGCACAGCTAATGACCATGCTGCCAGCAACCCAGGGCACCGCCCTTCTTCAGAAAAGGCAGCAGCTAACTACAGAGCCTGCTGGCCCAGACAGCAACTAGGCCAAGAATCACAGCCGCCCGCCATACCACATCCTCTGGCCCTGATGCTGTGGTCTCCTCCTCTACCTTCCAGGGTCACAAAGGACACTGCAGAAGTTGGAGCTCCGGGAGCTCGGACACCACCACCCCACTCACTCACCTGTGAAAAAACAGGATCACAGAAGGGGCCTGATTCACCGCAAATCACACAACCAGCCAGTACAGGGACCCAGGGCCCTAGATGCCCAGCCACGGTTTCCTTGCGGGGCCCCGAGCTCACCCCAACACTTTTTTTAGCCTTAAGAAGACTCATTTCTAGGTTTTTTACATGCTAAATATGCTCTCAAGGTACTTAGGCAGAGTTGAGGAGACAGAATACCTTCTAAAAGCTGTCAAGCTGTCTGTTTAGTCGCAGAGAGGAGCACAGACTTCACTCTTCACTCCCCATTGTCTAGCTGTGTGACCTTGAGCAAGACAATGTACTTCTCTGAGCCCCAGTTTCTGGGAGATGACAATAGTTACCTCCCAGAGTTGTGAATGAGTGTCCATAAAGAGCTTAGCAGTGTCTGGCTCATAATAAGTAGTCAAAGCTTTAGTTGTTGTTAACATCATCATCACAGTATTATTAATGACTATGTGGATACATTCTATGAACTATAAAATATGATGCAATGGCAGATATCATTTATTACGATTACTGTGAAGTGTTAAAGATTCAGAGGGGGTGTGACCAGAGAGTTAAGTCAAGAATGTTTCTTGGGTAATGACTGAGTTGGGCCTTAACAGGTGGGGAGGTGAGCAGAAAAGAGGCAGGGATGGTGTTTCTGACAGGAGGAACCCCATAAGCATAGGGGCAGCAATAGGGCCACATGTGGTGTTTTTAGGAGACATTTATGAACAATTAGCCAGGGGTCCATGTAGTGGCTATAATGAGCAAGGCCTCGAATACACAACAAAGGGGCTTGGCGTCCATCTTACAGGCAAGAAGGAGCCACGCAGGTTTCTGAGTGGGCACTCCATGACATTTTCTGAACTGTGAATTCTGTCTGACTTTCAAGGCCCTCTACCCACCCCTCTTTTCCACACCCCTCGCTGACCCCACAGACCCCAGCATCACTACCCCAGAGTTCTCCCCGGTTCTCTGCTTACAGATCATCCCACTCCCCCACTCTCGACCCACTCCATGGTTCATGTTCACACTGAAGCACCCTTTCACTAAGTACCTATCTTGCCATGTGTTTTATATATATATGACCCGACAGTCACCCATAACTACCCCCACTTTGTAAAGGAGCAAATGACCTGGCAGGATTAGGTGTCTTGCTCATAATCTCAGAGTGAGTAAGTGGCACAGCCTGGAACTGGTGTCAGGACCCCTACTGTCTACATCAAGTTGCCTCCAGTTCCAGCCCAGACACCTTCCTCCTTGATGAAGCCTTCCAGAGTTACTCCAGTCTTCAAGGGGCCTCTCTCTGCCACATCTCATCACCTATTTGGAATCAGAGGCCCACAGCTTGACCCTAACTCAGCTAGTTTGGTTTCCATTATTTTCTACGGGTTCACCTGGCCTGCCAACAGGAGAGAGCCAGAGTTAATAATATAGCTCACTTTCTTCTGGTCCTCTCTCCCTCACCACCATATCCAAGACTTCTTATAGCCCTAACAGGAACTACCCACCTCCTGGGGGTAGGGGGTGGGATCAAGGGCTGGCTAAGCATAGAGCAATTTCCTTGAGCCCGCCTCCCAGCATGAGGAGACCCATAAATTATTCACTGCACTTTTGTGCCCAAGGGAAGCCAGACAATGAGCCTAAGTGAATGAACACCAGCTCCCCACAATCCTGGCCCTGGGGTTGGAGAGTCAGGATCCAGAGCCCCTCGCCAGGGTCCTCAAGCAGATTTTAGAGGGCTATGAGACCAGGAAGGTAGCACAGGGGAGCCTGACCCACATAGGATTCCCAGCTGAGTAAACCCAGGTGTGTGTGCCTGCAACAGTAGTCTGCATTCTAATCTAAGGCAAGTCTGAGAATTTTCCCAGATTTTCTAGTCAAAATTCAAGCTTCCTTTCCTTATAGGGAAGGAAATAGATATTTGGCCAACCATTGTATATTTATATCTCAGTCCTCACAACAACCTCATAAAGGAGGAATTCTAATTTATAGAGAAGCTGGGGCTCCAAGGAGTGAAGTGATTTGTGCAAGGCCACATGGCCAGTGGGAGGTAGAGCAGATTCATGCCCACCTGGTCTGTCTCATCATTATCTGCCCATGCCACTTAGCTCACCCAATTGTGAGCTAGTGATCACACTGCCTTTTCCATCTGGGTAACTTCTGGGCATCTGGTATGCATTTGGCACCCAAACAGTTCCTGAAGCAAACACAAAGGCCCTGGGCAAGTGGTTTCACCCCTGAACCTCAGTTTCCCATTACAAGGTAGCCATCAATAACAAGCCCAGCCTTGGCAAACACAAAAAACTCTTTTAGCACTTGACAGTCTGCTGGATATGATGGCCACATTATCTGAATGGGTAACACACATCTGCCTTGACCCCATTTTATAGGTGAGGCTGGGCACCATGAATGCATCTGAGAAGTCCCAGGTGGCTCCCCAACACTGTTCTGCCTCATGCTTGAGGTTCTTTCCATCATACTATGAAATGAGATCATAGGTGTGAAATTATCTCATCAAAGAGGACTCTGTTTAGAGGCAGGGATTATTATGAGAATTTGAATCGCTAAGGATTAGGGGGTAGGTGGAATCCCAAGCCTCTCAGTCACCTTCTCTTGCAGTTCCCTTATCCCTCCACCCCCAGAGACTAAGCTTCTAGCCATCAGCAGACCTCTCCACCATCCTCCACCTCCCAGGGGCTTTCCAAGGTGGTTTCCCCAAGACTCCAGGAAGCCAGGCACGACAGGGGTTAACTAGTCTCAGCCAAGGCCACAGGACTCAGACCAAGGCCATATCCCCTCCCCCTCCCCACCTAGAACAAGAGCCTACAAAGTCCAGGCAAACCCTCTTTCACAACACCCCTCTCCCTGCACGGTCAGGAGGGCGGTAAGTAGCAGAAAGAGCCCCCTACCTGGGAATCCAGACATCTGAGACTGTGCCCCCAGCCCTGGCAGCCCCAACCTTGAAACCTAGAGCAAGCCCTCCCCTCCTGGGCTAGAGGTGTCTCGCAGGTTCCTCTGCCCAGGAGAGGCTAAGGTCAACCTTTAGTCTGGGCCAAAGGCTATGGGGCTGCTGGCATGTCTTGAGCCCCAGCACCAACCACAGAGACTCTCACAATAGCTTCATATGTGGTCACCCTGACCTCAAATCATGGGTGGGAAAACCCCAACTACCCACCCAGAAGATGCTAACTGGGGAGGGGGTGTGAATACCTTGAAAGATATTTGGGAAGGTTTTCTCAAGTACACTTGTGGTGGGACCACTCACTGGCAGCTTTAGGACCTCTGATAATTGGCACTTCCCCACTGAGGCCCCTTAGTAATGTGAAAGATGTGAGCTGGGTGAGTGCTAAGGGGCCTCATCTCCTCCAGCTCTGATGGGTTCTGACTTGGTGACGTCTACAGTGAGTTTCCTCAACAGATAAGCAGCGTCTCAGGACCTCCAGAGTGCCTCAAAGATCCTGGAGCGGGGCAAGCAAGGGCCAAGGGCTGCTGCTCTCCAGTCCTGGGCCCATAGGGAGGGGAACTGTGAAAGTGGGAAGCTTCCTACCTCTGCCCTCAACTTTGGGTCACCTTTCCTGGGAGGTGACACAGCCATGGAGTTGGAGAGAAAGAGGTCAGGAAAAGCCACCTCCCCAGCCTCAAGATCAGCTCTAGAATACCCCCGTGGCCCCACCTTGACCCTTCCCCCACCTCCTGCCTTCCTCTCTTTTTACTCTTCATTTTCTGCTTCTTTCCGTCTCCAACCTATCTCACCGTAGAATAAACGAGCAGGGTCACTTAACCCCATTGAGTCTCAGTTTACCCACCCGTAAGCGCCTATAACAGTACACGACACCTTTTATCTCACGGAGCCTTAGTGAGGGACCACTTGCACAAGGGTGGGGCGTGGACTCGCACACAATGGGCGCTCGGTAAGTGCCCGTTTTTTCCCTGCCCCACTTTCCCGCGCCCCCTCCCAGCCAGTTTCAGCCTCAGCTAGTGCCCAGCACACCCCCGCAACTGGCCCCCACTCTGCCGGATCCGGCAAGAGGCTGCCCTAGCCCCGGCATCCGGGGCTCTCTCACCTGCAGCTCTCGGCTCTCGCCAGCCGCCGGGGCAGAAGGGCCCGTGTTCTCTTTGGGGCAAGCCCCTCGCCCCTCGCCTGGGACAGCAGGAAGGTGGCAACTTCAGCTCACAGCACCACCCCGGTTCGGTTCTGTCAGACTGTCCAGCCCGCGTGGGACCGCTCACGGGGCGCTGGACCCGGGCCGGGGCTTCCTGGGCGAAGCAGCACCGTGTCGGAGGCAGCTGCAGGTCCGGGTCTCGGGTTAACAGAGTCTGGGGGTTGTCCGGGCTCCTTAGCTCTCAATCGGGGCCCTGGGGACACCCTGCGTTAACCCCGGACGGAGGGCTGGGGGCTCCAACACACACTATAGAAAGGCTGGGAACGAGCCCGCAACCGTGGATCGGTATGGTGGGCCAGGAGAGTCTCGCCCAGGTGCACTGGATCAGGGTCGGGGGCTCCAAGCGTCCCGTCCACGGTGCCCCGGACCGCAGGGCTGAGAGGGTCCGGGCGCGGAACCCGGGGCCAGGGCAATCGGGGCAGGTCAGGACGCCAGCGAGGAGCCGCCGCGGCCGGAGCTGGACGGAGAAGTCTTTCTAGGTCCGGACTCTGCTCGCTCTGAAAAATGGGGCGGACCTCGGTGCGGCGGCTGACTCCCGAGCTCCGGACCGCGGCTCTACTTCCTCCTCTTCTCCCGGCTCGCACGCCGCTCGTTCAGCTCCGCGCTGCAGCCGCCGCCACCCCAACCGCTGTCATTCCCGTCGCCTACCCCCACAGGAGCTGCGGCCGGGGCCGGAGCCGAGACGAGCCGAGGCAGCGCCGCCCAGCGCCCGAGAGCAGGCCAGCACCGCCCCGCCCGAACGGGGCGGAGTCAGCCCGAGACCCCGCCCCTCGCCCGGCCCGGGGGCAAGGGGCGGGGCGCGCTCCAGATTCCCTCCCTGCCCCGCGCCGTCAGGCGGCAGGAGCCAATGGGACAGTGGGAAAAGAGCGGAGCTCTGCGCAACGCGGACTCTACCTCGGAGGGGGCGGGGCGGACAGTGGAGATGTGAGGCTGGGTACCTGGCAGTGCAGGCGGGTTGCGCGGTTTTAAAGAGCGGAGCGGGAGGGAGGGTAACGTGGGGACCCGGATGGAAGGAGAAGTGAAGAGGACCGATCTGTCTGGGACCGGGGCGTGGAGACAATCCTTGTGTGGGAGAGGGGGAGTCATGGGATAGGAACAGGGGTCATGTTAGGGAAAGCAGCCGGGTGGAGGCGAGACGGGTTATCCAGGGTAGTAGAATCTTCAGGGATAGCACAGCCCTCGAGAGTGGTGAGAAACAGCTCTCACAGGACTCTCCCTCTCCAGCTTCTAGGGCTCAGCGCGAGGCGGTGAGTGTTAGATGCTGTGAAATACTCAGATGTCAGAAAGCGGTGAAAAATAAGTTTTTGAAAATAAAGAGTGGGTCTTTCTTAATAAGCATTTCCCCCTTTTCAGCCCCCGTCCGCGAGGAGGAACATCGTTATCAGTTTTAAAAATATGAAGTCAAGAGAGAGGTGTGTGAATGACTTTCTGCCCTCAGCTCCTGACCCTCCACTCCCCAAGCGCCTTAGAGCAGGAGCCGTGTCTGATTTATAGCACCCTGCACAGGGTAAGGCACAAACCCGGCATTGGAGGGTTTTGATGAATGAAGGAGTGAATGTTGAATGTGCTGCTGGGGCCATGTGAAAGCCACTAAATGGCCTGGGGAGCGAAGGAATGGAAGGCCACACTGTACAGCTTTTCTGTAAGCCTCACACCAACCTTATGCAGTAGGTACCCCATTTCACTCATGAGGACACCAAAGCATGGAGAGGTCAAGTGATGTTCCCAAGACCATATAGCTGGCACAGGATTCTATCCACTCATCATTATCGCATTCTAGGACAAAACTGCGTGGCTTTCAACAGGTTACTGGACCTCTCTGATCCTCTAGTTCCTCATCTGTAAAAGGGCAAAAAGATGCTGCCACTTATCAGAGACCCGGCAGGCATCAGGCTTCAAAGGATAGAAGGAAGGCTATTCTTGGTAGAGGAAACAGCATGTACAAAGGCATGAAGTCTGAAAGAAAACTTCTGGGGACCCCTGGCCTATTCTGGGGGGCATTAGAAGAGGCTTCCCTGAGGGAGTGACAGGCAAGCTCAAGCCAAAAGTAGGGGTTAGCTAGGTTAGGAGGGAACCTCAGGAATGAACAGTGCTCTGGGCAGAGGCCAGTCTGGGCAAAACCCTGGAGGTGAGGGACAGCATTGCTTTGTTGGAGAATACAGACATATTTAGGGTGGCTAGAGCTCCCAGGGAAGGGACAGCAGAACTGATGGGAAGAGAAAAGTGTGGAGAGGCAAGTTGAGCCAAGCAGAAGGGAGTTCAGACTTTATTCTAAGGGCCAAGAACTCTTTTGGGGTCTTACTCATGACCCTGAACCCAGCAGAATTATGTTGAGGCCCTAGTCATAAAGACCCTGAGTCTGGACTCACTGGTTGTCGGAAGGAATGCCCTGGGAAGTTTTGAAGCCAGGTATTACTATAGGAAAGACAGAGCTTTATAGGGAAACCAGGTAGCGTGAAAACATTTAAAGCCCACAAGAGGCAAATCATGTGGGGCCTGCATGATGACGAGATGGAGTCCTTAGTGAGGCCTGGACCCAGAAACTCTGTCCTATTTCCTCTTTAGAGAGCACCAGCCTTTAAATTGGTTGGAAGAACAAGGAAGAGGCTAAGCTGGAGGCTGAAGTCGAGGCTGAAGGGGTGCCCTTTCCTAGCCAAGCCCAGGGGTGGGGGTGGGGAGGTTGGCCCCAGGAAGCTCCCACTGGTGGTTGCAGCCTCAGCACTGGCAGAATGCTATTTTGCCTTATGTGTTGAGCTTGATAATCATGCTATGAAACCTTGTGACTTCTCCCTCTGCTTAGAACCTTCTGGGGCCCAATTGCCAGCATAATCAAGTCCTAAATCCCTAGCCTGGTATTCTATCCCTTCCATTATTGCTCTCTGCCAACCCAACCATCTTCGCCTTCTAGTTGCTTCCCTCTCCCCTCGCACCAAACTTCTTTCCACGCTATCCACAGGCAGGATGCAGTTTCTTCTTTCTGTGTGGTTGTTCCTACTTTTCCCTTTGTCTGGGAGCCAGTGGTCCCCTTCTCTCCTGAGTTCATTCCTACTTCCCTACTGGACTGAGGGAAGAAACTTTGGGGCAAATGCCCATCTGTCCTCTTCACTGCTCCATCCTTGGAGCCTGGCACATAGTAGGTGCTCAGTAAATAATTGTTGAATGAATGCTCTATTTCTCAAATCAAGTGTCTCCTCCTCTGAGAAACCTTCCTGGGCTCCCCTAGGAAGCCTGTCTTTAGTGTGGAATCTCTCAGCTTGAAGGGTCTGTAATTACATCTTTCATGTCTAGTTGGCCCCATGGGCAAGGAGCACCTCCGTGGCAGTGCGTCCCCACCCACCCCCAACCAGCAGAGTGCCAGCAGGCCCTTGTAAGACCTCAGCATTAGGAGATGAATGAGGCCCTCAGAGAGCAGTTCTCTGCCACCCCTGCTGCGAGAGCCTCCTGAGCGGGTCAGACGGCCAGAATGAAAAGGAGGCTTTCAGAACAGACCTTCCATGGCCCCTGAGGCCTGGGAGAGGAGTGCCCAAGGTCTCCAGGAGGTGACCAGCACAGGGTTCTCAGACAGCCCACATTTGCCCTCTGGCTACCCTCCCAGGGAGAGGAAGTCTCCTGACCTGGGAGAATCAGGCCTTTTTGTGGCCAGAGAGGCCCACAAAGCATGACAGAGGCATGGTCACTGCGGTTTGTCTGGGAGAGTGATTGAGGGTTCAGAGGCATCTCTGAACCTGAGTCTCCAGGGGGCTGACAGAAAAGGCTAGCCTTTTCAGCCTGGTGCCCCACCATTCTGAGAAGCTTCCAGCCTCCTTATATTTTCACCAGAGGAGGACTAACAGTGAGGCTACTGCAGCTTCAGTTCTGTTACATGGCTTCCTGATCTCATCACAAATGAACGTTCACTTTTGTGCCTACATTTATATTAGGAATTTGGCATTCTCTTTCTTAATAGAGCCACCGAATTGTATAAGACTTCACATCCTGTGAGATCGACTTCCAACAAATCCTTACCATGCACTCACTATGCAGGCACTGTGCTGGGTGCTGGCGGGGGATACCATGGAGCATCAGGCAGATGCTGCCCTGCCCTCCTACACTTTTTGCTGGGGTCGGTGGTTCAGCTGAACTCCTGGCCCTCACAGTACAGCCTGCTTTCCTTCTTGTCTGCCTCTGCCAGCCTGGAATCCTTTCCCCAGCCCTCCTGCCTGCATGTGCCGCACTCAGCCCCTGGAATTTTCTTCATTCTTCACCCAGTACACAAGTTGACCTCTCTAGAAAGCCTGCCCAACTCCCCTGTGGGAAGCACGGCATTGTCCATTGGAGCTGGTGACGCTGTAGGTTCTTTATGCCTCTCTTGGGACACTGATCCTTTCAGATCTTAGGCTGTTTGTGGGTCAGTTCCCCACCAGAGTATAAACTTCTAGAGGGCAAGGGATGGAATCTCTGTGCCCCAGGTCATCTCATATTTTCCAATCATCCCTGAGCTGAACGAAGTCCTAGAACAAAGGACAACGAGGGATGAGACAATCAAGGAGCCCCCAGTCCCAGGGCTCTCTGCTATGGTGTGTGCAGAGTACCCAGGGAACATAGAAGTTTGCAGGGGGAGGGCAAGTCAAGGTTGAGGGCAGCTTCACAGGGAAGGTGACACTTGATTGGCTCTCTAAGGGTTGGCACAATTTGTCAGGATAAGGAGAGAAGAGTCTTCTAGGCAGAGGGAACACTGAGCACAAGAGTATGGAAGTGGGAACAGGCTGGTGATTGGTGAGAAGTTTGGCGTGTTTGAGGGAACAGGA